CGATTTCAACCAACTCCCCCTCCTGTTCAGAAGTTCGCCCAAGGAAACCAGCACCCTGGAATGACGCGGGTACCTAGGTTCTGGGACGGGGAACATATATGAGTGGACATTGCTGTCCTCTTTACTTGGCCAATGCACCTGTCCCCTAAACTGACTGACGTGCACATGGCTACTAGGGGCTCCTAGCTGTGTCTTTCTCCAGAGAACTGCCCTCAGCCCGGAAGAGCCACTTCGATTAGAGATGCTTGGTTTTATACATCGCTCACATGTCACCCACGCTCCCACAGCCCCGGGACAGCCAGCAGCCAATGACTAACTGATATCGTGGTATAAAAGGCCAGCCCCCTGGCCTCAGGCAGGACTACTTTGGTGTTGCCACCCACATTCCAGGGCTCCCTGTGGCATCAGGTTAAAGCTGAAGGTGGTAAAAACCACCTCTTTCCTTAGCTTCTTCCCTTGTCCTATCTGCTTCCTTCACTCCCTTACAGATTTCTCTCTCCATCAATAATTCAAAAACAGCTGGGCACAGTGGCGTGCGCCTATAGTCCCAGCTACCCGGGAGACTGAAGCAGGAGAATCGCTTGAGCCCAGGAGTTTGAGTCTAGGGTGCACCATGGTCACATCTGTGAACAGCCACTGCACTCCAGCCTGGGGACCACAGAGAGACCCTGTCTCTAAAAAAAACAGAAAAAAATAATTCACTTGCCCAAGAATCCTAATATTCTTCCAAGGTCACATGGGAGCTTCCAAGCTCTCTTCTGCTTCCCAAATCCTATGTCCCGGGAGAGAGAGTTCTAAGCTTAGCAGCAGGAAAAGTTTGTTCCAGTGAAGACAACTGAAGTTTCTCTAAACACAACTGAAGTTTCATTCTCTAACACGGTGCTGGTCCTATGAGCTCAGAGAGACGCGTAAACAACAGCATCCATTGATCAAATATTGATTAGGCGTCAATTACATGTCTAGAAGCTACTTGGCACTGTGGGACCCAGTGGGGCACAAGAGAAACACAGTTCCTACCCCGATCCTCTAATTTAGGTCAAAAGGCTTCTCAGACACCCCTCAGTCCCTTCTGGGGCGGCCGCGCAATGATGATCGATTGAGTACACGAAACCTTCGGAATGCTTTTAATTTCTTTTAATGTATAACAGTTACGCCTGAGTTACAGAGGAAGCGCTTACAAGCAGCAGGTAGTTAAAGCAAATACCAGTTTCTCTTTCTAGTCTACTACTCCATATAGCTGAATAAATTATGGTGCGATTATATTTAAACACACACCTCACGCCCGCACACACACGCCGCTCACACCGTCACGCACACCCGACTCACTGCCGCATGGAGGGAGATGGCTGAGTCAAACACGGAAGCAACGAAGTTGCGGTTCCTAGGAAGAAGGAATGATCTAGAGGACTGTGCGGATCTTGCCCGGGTCGCGGGTTGGCCGTGTCAGGGTCGACAGAAGAAGCATCACATACACAGAAGTCTCCGAGCATCTCAAGTTGGCGGCTGGAGCGCCCCCGTTTGGTCTGGGTTTGGTGGCTCTGTGGGAGGGGAGGAGAGAAGACCTGTGTACCCCCAAAAAGCGCCCAACAGTGAGGGACACCTTCGGGAGCTTCATGAGAACATCAGCCTGAGAGAGGCCCCAGAAAATATCTTTTTAGTTGGGCAATCACGGAATTTCACTGAGTTCCAGGATCCAAATCTCGCAATGCTTCACCAACTCCACCTAAATTATTGGTCCGAGTCTGGGACCCAGGACAGGTCCCCAGTCCTCAAGCCACAGTCAGACTAGAAGTCTGACCTTTTCATTTTTCTTCTGGGCAAAGCTCTCTCCTCATTCTCTCCTTCCCTCCTACTCCCCTAATCACCTGTTTCCTCTGCTCTCTCATGTTCCTCTGGCAAAAGGACGGCAAAGGTAAAGCAAGGAAAAAACAAGTTATAAAAGCATAGCTTGGTTCTTACACATCACTTCTTTTCTTCATAGCAAGAGAGAAATACCAAATGAAAGAGCAAAGCAAGAGAAGGAAAGAACCCAACAGAAGCTGGAATGCATCATCTGACACACACGTGATGAAGATATATCCCTACAGATGGTCCCTGGCACTAGCACGACACGCACTGTGGGGTTTTCTCTCCTTTTTTAGTATATATATATATGTATTTATAAAAAGTCAACTTCCTATAAACGAACAGCACATCACCACGTTTCCAACTAATGTACAATGAGCTCAGAGGAGGGGCCCCCCTTAGAGAGAACCAACAGCTACGTGTGATAAGTTGGAAGAAGCATCTCTTATTTTGCTACGGACTCTATTTACAGGGGTGGATAGGGGCTGTTCTGGGCCAGCCTGGCCACGGGGATTCCGGCCTTCTTCCTCGGGCTGTGGCCAGCCCCAAAGAGATGGAGGCCTTGTGCCTCTTGGCCAACATCATCTCTCCAGTGAAGTTGAGAGTTGCCAGCGCAAGGCTGAATTTTATGGACTGAGTTGGCTAGACAGGTTCATACATGGGGTTTTAGGGAAAATCTGTTGGGGTCAAGGGCCTCTTTCTGAAGGGGGTGTGGCCCCTTGGGGAATAAGTCCCATTTTCTACCAGGATGGTGGCTTGGGAGAACTTCAGAGGTGCTGGACGGAATGAGAAATCCTTGGTTTATTCCCAAGGATTGGGAATGGTACCATTTCACCATAGAGGGCAGATATTTGGGATTGGTCCTAGCATTGGAATGTCACCTCCTGGGAGTGGGGCTGGGCGGTTTTGATGTCACCTGCCTGAGATCCCCACCCCCTCTCCTGAGTCACATGGGGTATAAAGAGACTCAGACACTTTCTGAGCCAGACCTCCAGGGGGAAGGGTTGACTGTTCAAGGAATGTGCATGAAGAACGTGGCTGGTCTTCAGGAAGAGCCGCTTTCTGCTGGGACAGCTACGAAAGCAAGGATTGAGTCATCGAGTCACTGTGGTCTTCCTTTTTGTCCAGAGCTTGAAGAACCAAAGGTCTCCCACGGTGGATGCTCCAGCCGAAACCTCGTGTAGCTGGGTCACATGTGTCTGGGTGTCTGCTGCTACCAAGAGTCTATTTGTCCCCAGTTATTAATAGGTTTCTCTAAACCAGAGCCCTGAGCCACCCTGACGGTGGTGCGGGACAGGCTTGATATTACCAAGTCTGAAGACGAGAAAACAGGTGGGCATTTGTCACAGAGGTGACATCCATGCCGGCAAACGTCCTAGCATCTTGCCGACCCAGCTCCCCAGCGGGAGAGGAACTCAGGCTGAGTCCCCAGGCAGCAGCCCTGCCTTCCAGGAACGCATTGTCGGCTGAGGGCAGGAGGCACGGACTGAGCAGAGGTGCCCTGTATACCAAGTGGGGACAAGCAATTTGGTCCCACGTTTGTGAATTCAGTGCTGTGTCTTCCATCCCAAGTACCTTGTACCCAGCAGCACCTGACAAAGGTGATCTGCGTGTGGATCGCAATGACAGCGACGCGAAGATGAACGTATTGTGATAAACAGGGAAGGTGGTGAAAAGTCCCAAAAGGTGGAGTGATCGGGGGCTTGACTCATCCCCCCAGGGCCCAGCTCTTAAAGGAGGACGGAACTTGAGGAAGCTACTGGAGTGGTCAAGGAAGGTGCCTCTTCCCTCTTCTCTGGAGCCTTTGGCGTCTTCCTCTGCCCAAGGGTGGCAGCTTGAAAAATGGCCACATCTGCCCCAGCCCAGCTGTGCCGGATCAGGAGACAGAGGCCTCTTGGCCAAGAGTGAGTCAACCCTGAAAGATGACACTCTGGGTGGGACAGTGACATGCCCCCACTAACATGCCAAGGGGACTCTGTAGTCTTGTCTGGGGGACAAGCGGACCCTCCTCCACATCTCCAAGGGAAGCTCTCTGAACCCCCAGCAGCTTAAAGGAGCTCACAGGAAGATGAAGGCCCCTTCCTGGAGGACTGAGCAGGGCCAACTGGGGGCGGGTCTCTGGGGGAGGCTTTGTGTGAAATCTACACTCCCCGGGTGTGGACGTGCAGGCAGAGGGCGGAAGCCTTGGGCAGCAAAGGCTCGCCAGCGAAGGGTCCTGGTACGAAAGCCCCTCTGGGCCTGCCTGATGCTCTGTACTCACGTCTCCTCGTGACTTTAACCCCTCCCCGTCTCACCCCATCCCACTAACAGGAGCCGGAGGTGTTCTGCAGGCTCCCCAGGCCACAGATGGGCGGCGAGGTGGGACCCTGGGCTTCCATCTCCGAGCCCTGCTTCCAGATGCCTGAGTTGGGTCCTCGTACCCTGGGCCAGCTGTGGCTGACAAGCCCCGCACCCACATGGCCCTGCCCCTGGGTGAGCCTCTTCCTGGGCTTCCCAGTCTCCTTGCCTGGGCCAGATTCCCCCCTACACCCAGCAGAGGTGTGTGGGGAGGGTCCTGAAGTCCTCCGAATTCCTGGGTTGCCCTGATGACTCCCTTGGGAAGACCCCAGGGCCGGGGTCCCCTCTGCTAGAGTCCCAGTGTGCAGAGAAGGAAGGGGTGGTGGTTCTGATGGAAGCCAGAGACCCACGTGGAGGGCCACCTCACAGCACTTCCAGCTGAGAGCAGCCAGGTGAGCGTCACCTCCACCTCTGGCCAGGGCACCCGCTGGAGTCAGGGCCAAAGGGCTGCAGCACCTCGGCTCAGGCACCATCCTCCTCCGGGTGCCCAAGGTGCTCTGTTCAGGTGGGCCTCAATCTCTGTCCTGAGATGGCACTGAGGCCACAACAGGACTTGGAGGGGGAGGACCGCAGGCTGGCCGGAACCCCTCCTGGGGAGGGAGCGAAGGGCAGACTCCAGGGCATCACTCTGGACCCCTCGCCACAGGTGAATGACAGGCTGGCTGTCCACCTCTGGAGGGCAGGTGTGAGAAGGGGATGGCTCCTTTTCTGGCCTCCTGGGACCCTGGGGGGATGAGGGGACTGAGGCTGAGAGCTCAAGGGTCAGTACGGGTTGGGCCGGGACCTGGGCTGGGGCAAGTCGCCCCAGCCCCCAGTCCTCAAGCCACAGTCAGACTAGAAGTCTCCACAGGCAGGAGTCCCAGCACAGCGGAGTGTTCCCCAAGCTTCATGCGCCGCTGTGTGGACAGGCTCACGTTTTTGGCCAGGTAATCAACAGCAGCTGGAAAAAAAGAGAAACTCTTAGACAACTGAGGTTCTTTTTGTTTACACTTCCTTTTACAACCCACATCTGTCCATCCATCCATTCATCCACCCCTCCGTCCATCTACCCTCTGTCCATCTAGCCACCTATTCTTCCATCCATCCATCCACCCATCCATCCATCCATCCACCCATCCATCCACTCATCCATCCATCTACCCATCCTTCCATCCATCCATCCATCCATCCATCCACCCATCCATCCACTCATCCATCCATCTACCCATCCTTCCATCCATCCATCCACCCATCCATCCATCCACTCATCTATCCATCTACCCATCCTTCCATCCCCATCCATCCACCCATCCATCCATCCACTCATCCATCCATCCACTCATCCATCCATCCATCCACTCATCCATCCATCTACCCATCCTTCCATCCATCCATCTCTTCAGGAAGCTCTTTCTCTCACCTCGTCTCCAAGCATTCAGCAAGCATTTACTTAACACTTATTGTGTGCCTGGCTCTCTTGTGGGTTCCCAAAGGAGGAACAGAAGGGTGTCCATGTGGCTGCCTGAAGAATTAATCCCACTTTCCAACGAGCCTTCTACATATCCCTGTTACGGGGGAGGCCAGGGAGTCCCACTGAGTCCAGGTAATGATGAGGGGGAGGCCCTTCTGCCATGTCTGGGCCCTGAGCCCAGTCCACGGATGAGGTAAGGCTGGACCCTTGCTCTAAAGCCAAAGCAGCTTCTGTGGGTGAGCTGAGGGGTCCATGCAGAGGGAGGGGCCAGGACACTGATGTGCAGGGAGTGGGGACCCACAGCCCCATCAGTTCTGGTCAAGCAGAGGAGACAGACGAGCATCTGAGGGTGCGTGTGCGTGTGAGTGGTGCACACCTGCGTGTGCGAACAGTGGAGACAAGAATCCTCCGAAGCAGTGATGGGCACGCGCATGGATGTTCACGCAGCAGCAATGCTTGCCCATGCACGCAGGCACACACGCACGTAAGCCATGTGCACGGTTGTGCGTAGATGGATGGTGGAGATGCCCGTGCATATGCAGGCACTGTGCACAGGAGAGTTCCACCGGAGCCAGGTCCGCGTCTCTGTACATGTGCGTTTGCAGGGCTGGCCACTGGCCTGCGGGTACGCGTGCTCTGCCTTGACTAATTGTGCCCATCTGAGGCTACAGCGGAAACCAGCCCTGACCAAATGATTTGACTGACATGTGGCCAAGGCCTTCTAAGGCACAGGGATGCTGCCTCCCAAGCTGGGATCTGTGGCTGTGGCCACCCAACCCCCTGGGACGTGGGGGACCCAGGAGTGAGAAGACGACGGGAAGAGCACCGCACTGGAAATGATGAGCTGGCCTGACACCCGCTGTGTCACCTGCCCCGCCCCCCACCCAGGGAGCCTTGTAATGCTCTATATGCTGCCCTAAGGTTGGAGGCTCCTGCCTCGGGCAGGTGGTTGGAGGTAAGAGGTGATGGGCGTGGCTGAGGGTGAGCCCAGGGAGGGAAGGTGGGCAGTGCCAATCGTTGAGCCATGGGAGGCTGCATTGCCGAGTAGTTCAAATAACCGAGGCTCAAATCCCGCACTTGCCAACTGTTAGCATGTGATTTGAGGCACACGACCTCACCTCTCCAAGCCTCAGTTTCCCTGTCTGTAAAATGGGGATGATCACAGCACCCAGGTGGCAGAGTTGTTGTGAAGGTCAAATGAGAAAATGCTTATAAGGTGGTTCGCTGGTGCCGTGCCTGGCACATTGCGGGCTCCAAAGCAGCGGGAGACCGGGCTTGGGGTTTAGTGAGCAAATGTGGCCTTTGATGGGAGCAGCTACCCCTGCTCATGTGGCTTTGGGCACATCACTTTACCTCTCTGGGTCCCTTCCTTGTCTGTAAAATGGGTAGAGCAAATTTGAGCTTCCTAAGGGCTGCTGTTTCAAGGATCAAATTAGAAAATATTCTTTAAGTTGGTGGCACAGAGCACTCGAGGGCTCGGCCCCCTAGATTCCTAAAGGATGTGCAAATGCCCTGGGGTCTCTTTGGAGTGTCTGAACCCTATGCTCCTCAGCTTGCCAGGCTCTAGGGTGGGTGATGAGAGGAAAGTGAAGTCTGCACAGGGCCTGAGCTGAGCCCTGGGGCTGCAGCCTTCCTCTGAAGTCCCTTGGCCTCCAGGCTCCCTGCTGGTAGAGCAGAGGTGGTGGTGGTCAGCCTTGCCCTGCCTTAGTGCTGCCCCTTCCCTGGATGGGAAGAGCCTCGGGGGACCCTGCCGCCCGGGCCACACCATTTCTGCTACCTGGGGCCGGTCTCACCCGGGGTCCAGGGTCTACCCCACCAGGAAGCCTCATTCTCAGAGGTAACAGGAGTGGGACAAGGAGGAGCTAGTGTTTACCCTGGGCTTGCTCTGTGCCGGCTGCCGCAAGCACCTTGTGCTCATGTTCCATTTAAGTCTCACAACAGCCCTGCGAGGCTGGTAGCTGGTGTCCCCATCTTGCAGATGGTAGAACTGAGGCCCTGAGGGGTTGCATAACTCCAGAGATCACATGGCTCATAGATCGTGGAGCTGGGATTCAAACCCAGGCCGTCTGACGCCAGCTCCCAGCCACCCCTGCAGGCTTCACCCGGCAGCCTCTGAGACGATAAACGCCAATACGAGCACGGCACTTCAGAGCATACGGGGCGCTCTGCACCCCAATCCTGCACGGGCCCCATTTTCTACTCCAGGCAGTGGCCAAGTCGGGACCCCGCCCTGTGTCAGTGGCTGCTGCCCTTCTCCCCCTATTCCACCCCAGGCCACCCTCGGACAGCACCCTCTGCAGCTGTTCTTGTGGGTCGAGAGAGAGCTCCGGCTTTTTAAAAAATGGATACGTAATATTTGTGCGTATGCATGGGGTACAGGGGATATTTTCTACGTGCATGGAAGGTGTAACGACCAAGTCAGGTATGTGCCGGGAACATTTCAAGTTCTCTCTTCTAGCTGCTGTGAAATCCGCAACACACTGCTGCTGCCTACGCTCACCCTGCTCTGCTGTTGACCATCAGAGCTTACACCTTCTAACCAACTGCATGTTTGTACCCAGGGACCGACCTCTCTTCGCCCTCCCCCCACACCCTCCCCAGCCTCTGGTAACCACCGTCCTGTCCTGTATCTCCATGTGATTAACTTTGTCAGCTCTCGCATATGAGCGACCATATGCGAGATTTGTCTTTTTGTGCCTAGTTTATTTCACTTAGCATAATGACCTCCGGGTCCATCCATGTTGCTGCAAATGACAGGATTTTATCCTTTTTTATGGCCAGATAGTATTCCACTGTGTATGTGTACTGCATTTTCTTTATCCCTTCGTCGGTTGGCAGACACTTAGGTTGATTCCACACCCTGGCTATTGTGAACAGCGCTGCAGTAAACACAGGCTGCACGGGTCCCTTCAACGTACTGATTTCCTTGCCTTCGGATGGATGCCCGGCAGTGGGATCTCTGGGTCTATGGTAGTTCTACCTTTAGCTGCCTTTGAGTGACGATCATGACAACAGCAAAGTGGGCGCCCTCACGTACTGAGCACTTACTGTGTGCTGGGCAGGCACGGTCTCATTTAATTCTTTCAACAGCCCCATGCTTGAGGTATGATTGTTCCTCTATAAATGCGGAAACTGAGGCACAGGAAGACTGGCCCAGAGCCAGGCACAGTGTATGGCACGGAGAAGCCCACGTGGTCCTGCTTGTGCCTCTGGCCACTCGGTGTGTCTCCTCCTCCGTAGCCTCTCCCAGCTGCCAGCCGGTGGCCCAGCACACAGTAGGTGCTTGCCTAGGCCCTGTCGAGGTTGCCAAGGAAACACCAGGAAACTAAACTTAACGGACGACCCGGCCAACTTCAAGGGCGCCCAACCGGCCGCAGAGCCTGCCGCTCCCTAGGGAGGAGCCAGCGAGGGCAGGGCTGTGACATTTCTCATCGTGGCCTGTGTCAGTGGCCCTCCCTGTGCCTCTGTCTCTCCACGTCTCTCCTCCTCTGCCTCTCGCCCGCGCCTGGGCTCCAACATCTCAAATTAGATTAATCGGGAGTTGGCAGGCGATGTGGCGCTGATGCCAACCCGTAAACAAATCTCAGCCGTCAGCGCCTCATCAGCCCGCGGCCCCAGAGGAGGACCCTTCTAGACACAAATTCTTATTAGACTTGTCAGATCTATTAAAATTCTTTTCACACTTCTGCGTTCTATCAGCCCCGTCATTAGCACAGCCCTGGCCTCTGGGAACACCGGGGCCATATTAATCTGCCGGATGCCCCATCTCTGGCCCCTGCCCCACCCCCTCCAGGGACGAGGAGAGAGAGAGACAGATGGACGGACAATGGCCAGAGCAGGAAAGAAGGTGCAGAGGTGTCCCTGGGAAGACGAGAGGCCCAGGGAGAGGAGGGGACTCCGAGTCTAAGGGTGTGGCCCACGTGCGCACTCGCTCCACGCACACCTGCAGGGATGGGCTGTAGGTGTGGCTTCGCACATGTGGATGGGGACTTCTGCGTGACCTCAAGCAAATGGCCTCTCTGAGATCCCATTTCGTCCTTTGTCCACTGGAAGTAACCACGTGAACTGCACAGGGTGGCTGTGAGGACGAAACGCCAGACTCATAGTAGATGCTCAATAAACAGGCGTTCCTCCTTCACGCACATTTTGTATGTTTACATTAAAGCCGTGTGTATGCACACACTAGTGAATACTCATGTATAAACCCGTCTCTGTGTGTGTGTCTGTCCACGTGCAGGTGTGTGTGAAGCTGTGAACATGAGTCCACATGAGGGTGGGTTCAGGTGTGGACCATGCTGAGTGACTTACACAAGTCCGTGGTTTGAAGTTAGGAGACTTGGAGCCCACCATTGCCCTGCTGTGGGACTTTGGAAAAGCTACCTAGCCTCTCTGAGCCTAGTTTTTGCATCTGTAACCGGGGGACAAAGAGCTGTGAGAATTACATGAGTGACGAACATGCATGTCACCCAGTGCCCTTTGCCACTCGTGCACAGGACAGGCGTGCAGGGATGACAGGTGGACTTGAGCGCACTCCTACACACTCACTGTGAGAGCCCAGCCACGGTGTACTCAGTCGCCCAGGGACGTGGGGCATTTGGTTAACGGGAACACGACGTGTCCCTGCACTGCCTCAGAATGTCGAAGGTGAGGGAGGTGGTGCCATGGAAACGTGTCTGATCTGTGGCCCCCATTTCATAGATGGGAAGACCGAGGCTCAGAGAGGCAGGAGTGTGTGCTGCCCACACTATTGGTGGCAGAGGAGCAGATTTTCTTTCCGGCCCCTCCCAGCCCAACCCAGGAACTGTGTGGGGTGGGGCGGGGTCTGTGCTGGAATTCCTTTGAGTAGAGCAGGAGAATGTGGCCCAGGAGGAGCTCTGAGCTGTCCCCAAGGAGCCAAGGGAGCAAGAGTGGAGCTGGAGGGGAGTGAGGAGGAGGGAGAGGAAGGAGAAGGAGGGAAAGAGAAGAATGGAGTTGAGGGAGGAAATTGCTCTGGCCAGCTTTGCCCGAGCAAAGGGGGAACAAACACTCCTTTCTCGCCTCCTAGGCCCCTTCCTTTTTGATCCCTTCCCCTGCTGCCCCCATGCTGACTTTGGGGTTAATTTTATTTCCGAGTTGGGCAGGCGCCCCTGGAGCAGGGCACCAGGCTCGGCTGTGACTAACGCCTGCTCCAGGCCGGGGCTGCCGCGGAGGCCTGAGGCCGCTCTAAAGCTTTATCAAGAGCATGTGTGTCCCGCCCGCTGCCCGACAACACGGGCTGGGCCAGGGGGTCGCCCTGGGCGCCTCTAGAAATGTGGGTGCACCCTGCTCTCAAACATGCATGCATACCCCCATGCACACACTCACAGTTACCCATACAGACACACGTGTACACACCCAGACATATATCCACATACATGTGCACACAGCCACACCTATGCACATACCCAAACATACATACATCCCTATTTACACAGTGCACACATAGTATATGTGTCCACACACGTGCTCCAAACACACAATCACAGATACACACTCAAGTATATGCACATGCCTGAATGCATATCATCTATACACATGTACAGCCACGCATATTTGCACACTCATACATCTGTACACTTGCACACATGTTCATTATACATGTCCACGTATTGCATTTACATACATATACCAAACACACAAGCACATACACAGACACACTCATCCATATGTGCACACCCGAATGCCCATTTAAACTGGTGTGTATATTACAGACATGTGTGCATGTGTTCACACACACATCATGTATGCACAATATGCTCATTTATATGCACACGTGTGAATAGTCATATACACATATACCCACATGTGCCCACTTACATGTACTTACCCATATGCAAAGATGCGTGCAACAACACGTGGATGCTGAAATGCTCAGATGCGTCACATGCACACAATGCATGCACAGACACACACAAATCATAACACATCCTTGACTCATGTATGCACAAGCACCCATATACACACATGCACATACACATATGCAAACATGCACATACACAGGAAGGGCCCGTGAACACAGCTGGGAGGTGGAGGCTGACACAGCTGGCCCTCATTTGGCCGTGGAGGCCAAGGCCAGGGAGGAGGAGTGGGTTGGGGGGGTGGGCAGGAAGCAGAGGTCACTGAGGCTGGGCCAGGGCCTCGGCTGGGGGAGAGCATGCCCTCGGGCTTTGGGGCCTCACCTTCTGGCCACACGCCCTTCTGATTAGTTTGACACCAGCAGGTGAGGCCTTTGCAGGGAGGTGGGGCAGGAGGGGACGCTGATGACCTCTGGCTCCCTGTCCTGTCTGGGCTGGCCCTGCTGCTGGCCCCATCGGCGGCTGGAGGCTGTGGCCAGGCCTGTCTTTTCTAGCCTTTGGTCTGAGGGCCCGCCGTCCCCACCTCAAGGCAAAGTGCCAAGGAGGTAACATATTTACTTTCTCGATTATAAATTTTATTAAATTTAAATACAGATCGAGGATTTCCTACGAAGACTTAGTGTCTGAATTAAAATGGGCTGTGAGTGTAAAATACACACTAGATGTTAAAGACATGGTATGAAAAAGAGAATGTAAAGTATCCCATTAATAACTGCATATGGATTGCATGCTGAAATGATCATCTTTTGGATATATTGGGTTAAATAAAATACGTTAGTAAAAACAATTCCACGTGTTTCTTCTTAGTTGTAAAATGTGGCAACTAGAAAATGTTAAATGACATTTGTGGCTTGTATTATGTTTCTTTTGAAGACCAAGTGCAGAGGCAGGGACCTGGACAGGAGATAACCTGGCTTTGATGCCCAATTCAGTATCATTTTAAGTCAACTGTTCCTCCTTGCTGGACCTCAATATCCCCATCTGTGAAATGGGCACCCCCACCCCAACACCATCTTACAGCTCTCTACAAATAAACAGGAGGCCCTTGGAGTGGGGGTGGGAATGGGGGGCCAGCCGGGGTCCTGGGCACTCACTCTGGCCGTACTGGCTGTACTGATAGCCAGCCACGGGGTCCACGCTGTAGCCGGTGGTGCTGTAGGTGGGCGGGCAATAGGACTGGGAGGTGGGCAGGCTGTCCCCCGGCTTGATGGAGTCGGCCCGCTGGCTGCAGCTGGCCGAGATGGAGGTGGCCGAGTCCAGGCCACCGTGCAGCGGGGAGATGGAGAAGTCGGCCTGCGGCTGCGGGGGCACCGCGCTGGGGTTGCTCAAGATGCTCATCACCTGCAGGGGAGAGACCGTCAGTGCCAGCCTGGAGGGCGGCCCCGAGGACACGAGTGCATGTGGGGACTGTGCCAGCCTGGCCCTGGACAGGCGTTTGCTGGAGGTGTCCCCTTGAGGCCCCTGCAGCTGTGGGGTCCTCGGTTTCCCTGGTCTGCGCGCCTCGTGCGTGAGATGGTCACTGGTCTTCAGTGTTTCTCCCGCCCGAGTCCTGACCCAGGGAGCCGCCCCTGGCTGAGAGCTCCAGGGGCGCAGCAGGGCCTTTCCCTCCTTTCTATCCCCAGAGCTGGGCTCTGAGGAGCACCCTGGGCTTGTTTGCTGAACGAATAAATGCACGCATGAATGCATGAATGCATGCATGAACTGACTAGCTCACGATGCCTCTCCCATCAGTCAGGAGGCTCTGCCAGGTCAGAGGACGGTGCCTCCTCCATCAGACTGGGAGGCCCCCGTCTCCCAGCACACACTAGAGCGGGACTACGATCAGTCTGGCTTCACCCCAGTTCTGGTGCTAGGCTCTTTCCACTCTCGACCTCTCTGGACTTCGAGCTTCCTGCACCAACGACACCGCAGTACACGCCAGTGCTTCCAAACAGCCTCCCAGGAGACTTTCTTTGATGCTGCCAGCTCCGCAATGTCTGTGACCCCCACCCGCTTCCCTGCCTGGCCTGGGGCAGCAGACAGGAACTCCCCATCTGTGCCGGCAACTCAGACTGACGGGGTGAGGCTCGTCTCTAAAAACTCAGCCTAAAGACCTTGGAATGGAGACATTGGGGTGTTCATTTATTCATTCAACAAACATGCATGGATGGCGATTCTGGCCCCCAGGGTGAGGGTCTGGGGACTTCAGAGGAGAAAGAGCCACGATCCCTGCCCTCGGTGTGGGGAGGGGAGGGGGGAAGGCCCAGGTCTGGTTGGGAGGCAGCCAGCAAACACCATCGGGACACGGGGTCATGAGGCTGGTCCTTGTGAGCCAGACCTGCAGGGCCCAGGACCCTGGCGATACCACCCCTTATGGGAGGAAGACCCTGAGTGCGAGGTGGGGACAGCTTTGCTGGTAATCTGCCCAGCGCCGAGCCGAAGAACACGTGGCAAACCCCACCGGGCACACCACTGTGCTTTCTGACTCCCCTCCTGCGGGGAGAACACCGGCTGTGGGCATTCAAGCCATGGTCTTTTCGCTGACTGGACACCTGAAGATCAGGCAGGGCCACGGGCGAGGGCGAGCACGACACTGAGCTCCTCCACTTACTGGCTGGGAAGCCTTGGGGGGTGTCCCTTAGCAGGAAACTCGTCTGACTCTCCCAATCCAAAACCCTGCAGAGATGTGTGGGGCAGAGCTAGGATGCCCATTCCTCAGATGGAAAAACTGAGGCCCACAAAGGACCGTGGCTTCTCCAGATCTCACCGTAGGTCTGCACGTGAGCGGTGCACCTGACCCTGGCTGGCCTGCGAAATGCCAGATTGCCACTAAGGGATGAGTTCAGGCATCTGACCCCTTTAGAGGCTGTCACCCCGGGGACCAGCAGTAGCACGACAGGTGGGGGGTGAGTGGGGTGGGACCCCTCACTGTGAGCACAGCCTCTGCCTGAGTCTTCCCTCCGTGCCCCCAGCGCACTCCCCTCAGCCCTGGGGGGTCTCTTCCTCTGTCCTTTCCCTCCCCCGGCCCCTCACAGGGCTGCGTCCAGGGCTCGGCAGGCGGGGCTGCCCAGTGGCTGGCCTTCATCTCCGCTGCAGCTGGCGGGATTTCGGTGGGACGCAATGGTGTGTCAACCCCACGAAGATGGCAGAGACACACCGGGATGGGCGTGCAAGAAGGAGAGCGAAAGGCTTCCGGTGGGGAGTAGGAAGTGGGGGAGGGACCGTTGCAGGGAGCGGGGGTCTCGGTCTGCTGTGGCAGGGTCGGCGGCAGGTGCTGGGGGTGGGTGTGAGGGGCCGGGCTGTGTGTGCTGCTTTCTGGTTGTCACGATGGGGTCTCCTCAGCTGAGGGATCTGCGGGGGGACCAGGATCCTGAGGCCAACTCAGGAATATAACGCTGCCCTGGGCTGTCGGCTTCCCAATCTGGACCCTACGTTCTACCCGCCCCATTTGCTGCCCCTCAAAGGAGGCCTGGGCCCCAAGGACAGGCTCAGAGCTCAGGGAGAAGACACGGGCCCCGGTTCCCTTCACTCAGGAGGATAATGTCGGGGTGGGGACTCAGCCCTGGCGAGAGCCCAGTTTGATGCTTCCCCAGGATGCACAAGGGATGATGGGAGGGAGGAATGGGGACACTTAGGGAGAGCATGAGTGTGCCTGGGACAGGCTGAGAGCTGTGCACAGACCCAGGACTCATCCTGTGAGACAGAGACCCACACAGAACTGCCACCAATCCGAGATACCGCTCAAGAATCATCAGTGGCCCCTCGGGACCTCCCAGAAAAGGCTTCTTGTGACCTGATCTCTACCTGCCTGTCCCAACTCCCCCCAGCCCCCTCTTACCTTGCACTTTTCCTCCCAGCTCTACCGAACAATGTGCTGTTTCCTGAAGATATCCTGCTTTCATTCATTTATTCATTCAACAAACACTTCACTACTATGTGCCAGGCTGGAGACAGGGCTAGGCTGCGAGCTCTCTGGGGAAAGGATGGGGCTCTGTGGTCCCAGTGCCCACAGTGAGCCTGCTACATGCCCTGGGCTTGGAAAAGCTCTGTTGAATGCATGCGTATTCACTGAACAAGCATTTATTGAGTGCCTATTAAGTGCCAGACTCTGAGCCAGGCACTGGGGTACAGCAATGAACAATGCCCATCCCCTGCCCTCCTGGAGCTGTCGGTCTAGTGACAGAAGCTGACAACAAACAAGTGAGCCAATAGACAATATAATTTCTGATACTGACAAATGCGATGGAGGAAAGATAAGGGGGTACGTGGGTAGTCAGGCAAGCCCTCTTCAAGGAAAGCGATATCCAGCAAGGCCAAAAAGAACAGCCCTGGGAAGGCGTGGCAGAAGAGCTTTCCAGGCAGGGGAATCAGCAAGTGCAAAGGCCCTGAGGTGCCTGGGACCAAGGGCACAGAGCTTTGAGACACGCCCAGCAGGTTTAAGAAAGAGCAAGAAGGTCAACGTTGAGAATAAAAGTCCCGGGAGCTGCAAAGCCTCCTGCAGTCCTTTCTGGAAGGGGCTTGCATGGTGCCCAGTGGCTCAGGAGTCCCAGGACCCTGGGCAGTTAACAGACAGCTCAGAAACAGCTCGGGCCCAGGCAGCTTTTACTGTAATGGGATTTGCTCAATGGGATTTGCCCTGGAACATCAAATCGAATCCACATCTGGGGTAGGTGTGAACGGGGGATGGGCAGCATCGCTCACTCTCTCCCTGGAGGCCTGTGGATCAAAGGGCTTCCATTTCATCCAACCCCCCCGTCTCCAGGCAGGGCAGGACCCAAGTGGAGAGAGGTGGCAGGGGAGGACCCTTGCTGATGAAGTCCCCAGCCCTGAATTACATGGGTCACTTCACTGATGCCTCCAGCAGATGGGCTATTACTACACCCATTCTGCAGATGGGGAAACTGAGGCACCAGGAAGTGAAAAGTCTCACCTGAGTTCGCACGGCTGGTAAGTGGAGGAGCTGGGGTTTGCACCCAGGTGTCCCAGACCCCTAGCTGTGCTCTTCCCTGCAGCAGGCTGTGCTGGAGAGAGCGCAGGGGACCGCTGGCAACCCCACTGCACAGAGTCGTCAGGCCTACGTGGCCCTCGCCGGCCCCTGGCTTCTCCAGGACCTCTGGGGGTCCCTCTGTGCCTGCAGAAGCAGGAAGCCGTCCACGGTGAGGGGCCCAGCTGAGGTCTAGGGCTTGCAAACTTTTGAACTTGAGGAAGTCCCGGTCTGATGCGGTAATCCACCCCCCTCAAGAATGCAGAGACCTCTCCCCGGGTGGGTTTTACTTTTTCCCGGTGACCTTGCTTTCACTAATGTATTACTTCTTGGTACGTTACCGTTACTAACTCAAAATCAATACCGACCTCCACATCTGTAAGGTTTTATCTGAAGGCAAATCTCAGGGCTGTCCGTCAGGCTGACTGACAGCCACCCCTCCTCTCCTCTCTTCCCTGCACCCCCACCCAGCCCCGGCCCCCACCCAGTCCCCAACCCCTTCCCCTCGCTCCGCTCCAAATCAGTCCCAGCCTCGACCAGACTAAATCAATAAGGGCCAGCTCACCCTCCCTTCCGCCCGCTGGGGAGAGCCTTGCTGGTTTGGGGGTGGCGGCCCCCCCTTCCACAGCCTCTGCTTGCCGCCCCCTCCCCTGGGACGCGATGGCGCGCTCCCCTACTTTAAAAGAAGGGGATGGGAAAAATGTAATTAATTCCCTCCGTTCCTGAGCTGGCCCCGAGGGCCTGGGACCGAGGAGGCTGAGCTGCGAGATCTGCACCCTCTGTGATAACCGAACGTGGCTTTGGGAGCGCGGCTGCAATTAGAAGGGGCGATCGCCATCATCGGGCTCCGTGGCAGGGTCTGTGGTGGGTGGGGGTGCCATAGCGGGGTGCAGAGGGGAGCGGGAGGCAGGGGCTGGAGACCAGAGGTCAGGACGTGGGGGTTGGGGGTTCCCTGGAGGTAGGACAGGGCCTGGCATCAGCTGCAGGTCATAGAGCCCCACCTCCGCACTGCTGGGGTCGGGGGACCCTGAGGCCCCAGAGAAACAGCAGTTTCGCAGGCCAGGGCCAGTCAGTGCTCGGAGGGGTTTCTCCGCAGCATGGGGGCCAGAATACCTGCATTAGCATCCATGCTGCGCTGGCTGACTGTGGCCCTGGGCAATCTCTTTAACCTTCCCGTGCCTCAGTTTTCTCATCTGTGTAATGGGAACGATGATGATGGTGGCTACCTGTAGAGTCACTGTCATGACTAAATGAGTAAATGCACGCACGTGGAATGTTAAAGACAGTGCCCGGTGCATCGCTTGCTCCCTGTGAATGCTAGCTCTCCTCCTCTTCCTCCGTCCCCTCCCCACACTGCCTGGATTAGAAGGGACGAGGAGGGTTGGAGGAG